AGTCAGAATGCTAAACATCCAGAAACGCACAAGTTGCAGCAGATCTGCTACAGACTTGATGCTACTTGCGAAAATCAAGCCGATATCAGGATGCGTTCGCATCGCTTTCTCCGGCTTGATAATATCAAGCCTGTTGCATGCAAGTTGTCAACAGACTTGCAAGTCACTTGCTGCAAATTGTAAACTTCAGGCGTGATGCGAGTTATGAACTGCAGATTTACATGACAAGTTGTGAACTGCAGGCTTGGTGCAATTTGTGAAGCGCTTTGTGATTGGCTATCGGAAGGGATAGGGCTAAGAGGAGGAATATCTCGAGTAACGGACACGAAAGCCGTTAATTTTTTCAGCAAGTTGCTTTCCAGAGACGACTTGGTTTCCTAGGACAAGACTTGAAAAAGATTTCTTTTTAGGGTAGCCAGCTATTTGTTTCACAGTGTCCCGTGCACCATTTCTTAGGATCAGGAAATGTTCCAATTTATGTTCCAAGAATGCAGATTTAAAGTTCTTACTTTCTCGATCAGCACGATTACGTAGTCGACGGTACAAGTTGTCATTTTTCTGAAAAAATGCCTTTTGTCTGCTTTCAATAAGTTCCTTATATGCCGGAGTTATCCAAGGCTTATTTCAGTCATGCATTTTAACTACTTTACATGGAAGGAAGTGGTCTAAGCCGGTATGAATAACATCCTGAAAAATGTTCCAGTGTTTGTTCACACAATGCAGTGTGATACAGGTTAGTCCAATTGTGGTCCATTAGCCATCTTCCAAATGTAACCTTAGCACCTCTGTTACCGGGTCTAATTTTCTTGCATCTGTTCAATGATTTATAATCTGAAAATACTAACTTAGACACATATTCGTCGATTTATTTTTAATTAATCAACAACTTGTTACAATAAGGTACGGTGTGGACGTTAGATATCTTAATTGGGAGGAGGGCGGGCAGATCCCCGACCCCACCCCCCAAAAAAAACTGCATAAGAGTGGGGAAAATATAGAAAACAATTACTGCACAGCTTCTACACCGTAAAGGTCGACAAAAAGCTCCGAACTTAAAAAATTCTTGCAAGGAAATTCACCTCACCCTACTCCCTGGATATCTATTTGTCCACCACTAATGTGCTTGGAATTACTGATGTATCAAAGAAGCTTCTTTTACAAAGTTTACTTTATTATACTTCCTTTAATGCTTTAATTAATGATTTAATGCTTTAATGAAGTACTCCTAAAACAGTATTAAACTACACTACGAGGATATTGTCATAATTCACTTGTGCAATAATTACGATGATATTATATTATGGTGAGATTATATGTACTATTTAAAACACGAGTAGAAGTGTTTTATGTGGTATTAATATCAGTTGTTATTACACTTCCCAGTTTCTCTTATATCAATGGGAACGAAATATACTTGGAGATGACACTCGGTCCTTTGCCTCGGTTGGTATAGACCTAGTGAGTAAGAAACATTGTATTAGTAGATGCAGCTGTGCTGTTGTGCATGTAGTTGTTGTATAAACTGAAGTCGATGGCAATATTGATATCATCCTCATAATCATGATGTTGATGAATATGACGACGCTGGTATATAATGACAATCGTGATCGATGATGATTGCGATAGTAATGATTACACACAACATTGTTAAAGTGGCACTCGCGTCAAAATTTTTATTTTCTTAAACGAAAGTGCTCTTAAAACTGTATAGTAACTTGTTTTGAAGATTTTCGTTCCCATGCTTAGTTCTTGAGATATAATCAAATATTTCATTTTGTTTGTAACCATGTGACGTCATTTACTCAATTACATATATAATGAATATTTACAAAAACAGTATGCGATGTATGTTAAATAAACAAACGCGCCGCATTTTTGGAAAGATTTTGATAAAAAATAGCAAAGATACACAACAATTACTGATACATACATACATACATTAATTATGTATGTATGTATGTACGAGTAGGTTTGTGTATACGAAACGCAAAGAGTGCTCAATACCATAAAGATAGAGCAAATATAGAATTTCGCTTACCTCAAAATTCCGCAACAGTCTGTTTCATCAGTAAAGAATCATCAGGCAGTATGACAAGTTTCGAAAATAGGGCTGCTTATATGTGTTTTTGCCGAAACGTGGGTGCTTATATGTGCGGTTTTTGACGATGATGTATGCATATGTAATTACTGATATCTCATTATATATGTAATTGAGTAAATGACGTCACATAGTTACAAACAAAATGAAATATCTCAAAAACTAAGCATGGAAACAAAAATTTTCAACACAAGTTACTATACATAATTACTATAAAAAATTTTGACGTGAGTGCCACTTTAAGAATTACAATATTACCTCTTGAGCAACGCTAACTTTTCCCGGACCAGTCCAGCCAATGATAGCGTATGACGATTCCCAGTAGAATACTCTTCGGTAGTTACCTCCAATTTTCCTAAGACCACGCATGAAGTTGCGATCTATATTTCGCCATCTTCCTTTCACTGCCATAAGAACAAGTTTTCTACAGGAAGGAACAACTGTTAATCTTTTATTAAGCTCAGCAGCACTGTCATGCAGCAGTTGGTCATCAATTGGTAGTTATCAAAACTAGTTAGAAAATTTTGTTAATCATTTTCAATATATGTCGTAGCCTTGTGTTTGAAGAAAAATAAATAGAATTAAGATGTTGAGTCCAATTTTCTTGCTTGCGTTCTTTAAGCCCTGCATGGGCAAACTAGGAAACATTGTTGTGGAGACATTGTTTCCTATTAATGTTTCGCAATGTTTCCCAGAGTGGTCAAACACTAGGAAACATCAGTGAGAAACATTAGTGAGAAACGTAGGGAAACATCAAATGTTTCTGAATGACTGAATTCGATAGGAAACCTTTTTGCTTCTCGGCCTCGGGAAGCAAATTAAATTTTGTTTCCGCAACAATGTTTCCACGGGTGAGCAAACAGGGAAACATTTGACTGAAACATCGAGAATCACAAATGTTTCCACAACAATGTTTCCTAGTTTGCCCAGGGCTTTAATTTGATCACCATCTACAGCCCTGTATGGCCTTCTGAAATCCCCAAATTTGCGCTTCTTCACTTCTGCCGAACAGAGTTTGAGACTTACCCTCGTTTCAATCTTAACAAATATCTCCCTATGTTTTCCAATCCTTCTGTTCGTCTGTCTTCAACTTTGCCTGAAAATTGAACAGGCCACATATTATCCTGGGTTGGATCGAACTTCGTTGAGTAAGGGGAGAGAGATTTAGCTTGTCATGGCATGAAGTGCGACATTCAATTCGAGTGAAGCAGGGTGCGCATGACTAAGGAAACTACGGAAGGCTTTTGGGAAATTAGCCTTTGGCCTGAAGAGCAAAAACCAAGCGTGAGGCCGGGAGAAGGTCAGACAAGCTCCCTTGGGTACATGTGGTAGGGCCCAAGAAGTAGGATATAATTTGGGTAGCACCCTCTTGGGTTTTCTACAGCTTTACGGCCAGTTCAAGCCATCCAACTTCATCTACATTAGGGCCATTTATACGGAACAAAATAAGACGCGACTTACATAAGACGCGACTTAGGTAAGACGCGTCTTACATAAGAACAGGTCTTTTAGCTGTTCTTATTTAAGTCGCATCTTAAAATAAGAAATTTTGGACAAAAAGTCTAATTACACATGCCAGAAACTTGAAACAACGTAAAATTTAATGCCTTGCATATTAAAACAAAAACAACCAAAAAAACATTATAGCTATAGCAAATAAATAAGACCAAAGCCGTAGAAAACCATTTATACGATAACTCCACTTATTTAAGTCGCGTCTTATGTAAGTCACGACTTATTTTGTCCCGTATAAATGGCCCTATTGTTCAATTCAACATTGTAAAATTTGTTTGAATGTCACGTTTGATAATGTCAGCTAATTATGTCGGATAATTAGGTTTGATTTGGTTCAAAATTTCATTTAACACCTTGGACCATGGGCGTTTACCTGATTTTCCATCCAGGACAACTACAGTAGCACCAATGTACTTAGTAGGGATTTCAACATTGTCTACTTTGATAACTGAGCCTGCTTGCGAGCAATCTGTTACACCAGGATCTCTACAACCTACACTTTTGATAAACACGCGGACCGCTAAAAAGGAGAAAGAATATTAATTTTTATTATATAGTAGAGAGTGAGATACTGGAAAATAAACAATGACATATTTTCCATATCTTCACTAGTGAAGATATCGATCACGTGACAATTTGACAATTTGCTTTTGACTTTTGAGCGTGAAATTTCACAATTTTTTGCTTGGGACTATATTATAAACAGAACATTACACGGTGGCTTAAACATATGACTTTTATCTTCTCGTGTTAAAAACAGTATTTTTCTCACTCGCTGCGCTCGTTCGTAAAATATTGTTTTCACCACTCGGCGAAGATAAAAGTCATATCTTTGCGCCGCCGTGTAATATCCTCTATGTATTGTGTTGATACATGCAGGAGCGAGCAGCCAAGGATGTCTGACAAGCAAGCTAAGAGGAGAAGATTCTCCGATGCTTTAGATTTCTAAAAAGAAGAGGGAACAAAATCGCGACGGGTACACACGTAAAAATCTCACAACTTGTCAACAAGATGTGTTCGCAACAGGCTTGTAGCAAGCTTGTTAACAAGTTGTAACAATGCTGTTATTTTATCAAGTTGCTATACAAGGTTGTCACTCACAACTTGTTGAAAAATTGTCGAATTGCAGGACGATAACAAGTTGTTGAACAACTTGTAACAAGTCTGTTGGGCTCAACAACCTTGTCAGTTGGGTTGTAGAACTGTTAATCCTTTTGTCCACCTCAGAGTGGCAAACATGTGGTTAACTCTAACTAAAACTAAACAATACTAAAACTAAACAATGCATAATGTCGCTTACCAGATCCAAACACTCGACGAGGAGGGGTAATTGTCGGACGTGTTGTCGGACTGGGGCGTGTTGTTGGACGTGTTGTCGGACTGGGGCGTGTTGTTGGACGTGTTGTAGGTGGTGCTGGTGTCGCTGAAGTGGAATAAAAACAAAGTACAATTACAAAAATATACTTATTGGCCATTACATACCCATGGATTGTAAAATAACCTTATTTTACAATCCATGACGTACCACAGCTACTGTATGCTATTGGTGGATTTTAGTAAGCGATCCGCGGGGGAAGATTGTAGTCAACTACTTGAAGGAGACGCAAGAAAATTAAAGCGCATCTCTCCGTTCTATTTAGGGCCTTTTCATATGGGCAGAAGTTATCCCGGTTAACGAGAAAACTTTTCGACTAGCGAAATACTTTAGTTCTGTTCATATATGGAGAAACATTATCCCGCTTACCGGGAAACGTTTTCGGCTGTGACGTAACACTGAACATCAATTGAATTGAAAAGTTGCTGACACGACAAAAAGTTATCCCGCTAAGCGGGAAAGTTGTGTTCATATGGGAAAAACATTATCCCGGTCACCGAGATGTCGCCTGTCAACAAGCGAGATCTCGGTACATGTCACGGGAAAACGTTCGTCTCATATGAACGCAGTGTAACTTTTCATATTATTGTCATACGAAGGCGAGATCTCGCTTGTGAACTTGTCAAAAAGTTTTCTCGTTAACCGGGATAACTTTTGCCCATATGAACAGGCCCTTAGTTGCTTCCAACGTGATGGCTACTGAGTGTAATGAAATGAATTAACATTATCTTTGCATTCTGCCGATTGTCAGCAGATTGAGAAGTCGACCAAATAATCGGCAAATATTGCTATTTGACATCGAATGATGCCAACCAAATTATAAAACTAATTGAACTATAAATGTATTCTCCTCACCAGCACCATTGCATTCGTAAAAGTTGTTGAGTTCTTGAGCATCTTTTGGCGATAATCCATTTCTTTGACCAAGTGGACCGCTACCACTTTTCCGCACTATAGTTTTCATACCTGGAAGATTTACAGCGCGCAGGGTAAATACTAATTATAGCTTATGAACTCAATTGAACTGAACTGAACTGAAAACTTGTTATTAGTTTTTCATGAAAGCATTAGACTAGTTCTACTATCTGACCAAGTTTGAAGGAAAAATGTTGAAAATTATTTAATAAAATACATTTCGCTGCAATAAGAAAAACATTCAATTAATTTTCTCCGGAAGAATTTTCCGGCAATTACTGATTTTCAAACGAGCTGTTCTCCTGCGGGTTTTAACAAATTTTTCGTAAATTTTCACAGGAGATAGCTAAAGACGTCAGTTTCAAAACACTTTTTGGCTTTTTTCTTATTTTAGATATTTTAATAATATATAAGGACCAATTCACTCAAACGATTCAGAAATATATTGCGCCAGCTACGGATAGTAACACGGACAATACTTTTCTGGCGATGGCAATGCAATGGTGGTAAAATCGTTGCATTGCCGTCGCGAGAAAGAAATTGCTTGTGTATCATGCTCTGCGACGGCAACGCAAAGCTGCGCGCAATCGTTGCCAAAATTTCAAATCATCAGTTGATTTTCGGCAATGATTGCCGAAAATTGGGAGGTGTGGTCAAGGAAGGTCAAGGTTGATGAATGACACGTTTCTTGACCAGCCAATGAAAAGCTTTATGAAGACATATATTGCAGGTGAAATATTGCAGGTGTAGCCACCTTGTGCGACCCATTGAGTAACCATCGCAGCAAAAATATTGCTCGTGTATCCGAAGCTTCATCAAAGAAATCGCCATATCAGCGGAATCACGAAATAAACAAAAATTTCCGAACACAATATTTTAATTAGAACAACTATTACATTTACTGTATAAAAACGATATTTTCATAAATATATCTTAAAACCATGCAGTAGGAAAACAACTCAAAAGCGTAAAGGTACCGCAATTTAAGATTTTCTTCAATAATTCTTACATTATTTTATTGTTTGTCAATTTCAGTAACTTTATCGTATTTTGCATGCACTGGCAAACATTCGGTGAAAATTTGATGAAAATCGGACTGATATTAAGCGCGCAGTAGTGGTTTTCCGAGAAACGCCAAAAAGGGTGTCCTGTAATCATATGCTGTAACCTTAATGTGGATTCTTACTATAGATACAGTATAGGGAGCTATAGATTTGATAATCATGTTCACCTACTTCTGTCTATTGCGAAGTCGTACTCCCCATAATGCATCACACTTTCGTAATCGTACGGAACACCTAAATCTTTCGTGTCACGTTCACTATGTTTCTCGAAGTTATTATTTCTCGTACCTGGAAAAATTTCAAGTAAAACTTGGTCTACAAGTAAGACGATTAAAGTACATCATGGTGAAGATGATGGTAACAATGATGATGATAATAGTGATGATGATAATAGTGATGATGATAATAGTGATGATGATAATAGTGATGATGATAATAGTGATGATGATAATAGTGATGATGATAATAGTGATGATGATAATGATAATAACCATGTTGATAATGATGATTGTGATGATTTATTTATTTATTATTTATTAACTTCAGCCGTCAACAGAAATATAAACGTATAAAAACAGGAAGACGGTTCAGGAACACTAACACATCGGGAGCCAATTACGTTAGTGACCTGTTACAAAACAAATGTATACAAAACTTCACAACTTATAATTTAATTAATTAAATATCAAACAAGATTATAGTATATATAGTCCTTTTTATCCGAAGTAGAAAGAGAGCATAAAAAATTTCAAAATTTGGAAAGACAAAACGACAAATTATCAGTAAAACAGAATAAATGAGAGAACATATAGATTCTGTATCCGTCGATAAAATAAGACGAAAATGGCGAAAAACCCAACCTACATCGGATAAAATAAACTATATTACACTGAATAATTTGCCATAATCATCATCATCATCACGGTGATCATGATGATCATAATGATGATCGATCATGATCATGATCATGACTCACCTCCTTGGATATTTTGCCACACCAGAGTAATATACTCATCACGGTCAGGTCTACTTTGCTCGTGCCAAAATCCCAAAGCATGGAGCAGCTCATGGACAATAATTCCTTTATAGTTACAACCATTACCGATGGAAACATCTTGACTTTGGCTGAACTGGCTGCCCGCACCTCTTATATATCCAACGTAGGAGTAACAACTGCAAATCAAAATTCAGCCATTGATACCATAATGCACCCTTCTGGAAGCACGTGATTTCGGCTATAGAGCCTCATAATAGACAACTTGCATGTTAGACTAATTTTGATTTAGGCAAAAATGAAAGTAAATTCCGTAAAGAACTTATTAAAACTAGTAAAAATTACAAAATTTGGTTGCGAAATGTTGTAAAATACAGAAAATATATAGCCTTGCGAAGTTTGCATATTTTCAGTATATTTATATTACGTGCGGAAATTGTTACCATTTTTGAGCCGAAAATGGTAACAATTTCCGCACGTAATACAAATATACTGAAAATACGCAAACTTCGCAAGGCTATATTTTCTGTATTTTACAACATTTCGCAACCCAATTTTGCAATTTTACTTATTTCAGTATGTTCTTTTTAACTGCTGTGTTTGATTCCCTTCTCTTTACTTAGATTAAAATTTAGTCTAACATGCAAGTTGTCCATTATTCACGCACGTGACATCAGGTAAAGAGTGTCAATCACGTGTTAATCACGAAAACAAAGTTCTATGGCCAAGCGTGTATTCAGTTTTTACATAGAACATAAATTATAATTGTTTGTTTTGTTTATAGCCTACCCTCTATCTATGATGAGCCTGACATGATAATCGTTGCTCCCGGCTTCTGCCAATTTAATACAAGTTTTTGACTCGAATTCGGCTTTGGCTTTCATGAATTCTGTCCGAGTGTGTGTATAACTATCTACAAGAGAAATGTTATTGACATGATTTATATTTTATAACGAAAGAGAGATTCAATCAAGAACAACCCCACTTAACACAGTGGATTTATAGATCATGGATATATGTTGAAATATTCGTATTTCAGTGGTGTAGTAGGAGGGTGGGGGGGGGGTGCTGGACTCAGGGGGACTGAGTCTTCTTGTTAAAATTTCCTTACAGCCCCCTTAAAATTTTTAACAAGGCTGAAATAGTCTTTGAAATTTACTAATCTAATAAGATTTAATTACAATTAAAAACACAGCCGCTACTGTTCCAATTTATTTTTAACTGTCACACCGATAATGCTATATTTCCTTATAATGAGTCCTGTAGTGATTGTATTGTGTTCAGGTTTTTTTAATATGATAGAAACTAAGAAACATCACTTAAAATGCAGGAAATCTTCTTAGGAGATTCTAGAGACTTCAGGCATGTTATCACTTATAGAAGCAAGCAAATTTAATTATATCTCTTTCTTTAATTAAATTACATCTGTTCCTTTTACTTTGACACCAAATACAAGCTTGCTGCATTAACATTATTTTCTCACTCTGATAACTACTGCATGGTTGACAACTTCAATACTATGCATGATTATTTATTGAGCTTAGCAAGCATATTCATGTGCACTATATATCCAGATGTGATTTTCTTGTCGCCTTTGTACAGTGGGCCATTCCATTTAATATGTGCACCCCCCCTATTGAGGGATCCTTAAAAGTTTTACCCCCTTAGGAAATTGAACATCAAAGTGCCGACACATTCCCCCCCTTGGAAATTGGCCTATGTTGTTCGAAGATCAAAGGGACCGACTGATTTACCCCCTCGGAAATTACCAATATTAACCCCTCCCTCCCCATAGGATTTCCAGACCCCTCAATGGGGGGGTGCACATATTAAATGGAATGGCCCAGTAAATAAACTAGGAATATAACATTTGTTAGTAACTTACTAGTACCACGCGTTTCAAACTTATACTTTAAAATTCTATTGGGCCATCTATACTCTCGGTTGTTGGTGATTTTCGCAGCACGTTTGATAATTCCATTCTCATGATCCCACTGAGCAATTTCCTCTACTCGAGAAGGGTCCACTTTAACATCTGTTTCATATGTGTCTTTACTATTGGTTAGACCATTTTCTAAAGGTAAGGTAAGGTAATGTAAGGTAAGGTGAAGAGAAAACAATCAACTAATGCCATTTTGGCAATTTATGATGTTTTGCAGTAATTTGCAGCTTACCTAAATTGATTTGGTAAATAGCATCGGATGCTGACATATCAGGATCTGGGAACGACAAAGGCAAACACACATTGTAGAAAATACTTTTCAGACACAAATCAACCTACAATAATTCATGCAGTTTCTCCAAACTTGCAACAACCTACTCTACGCATGTATGTGTATAACAAACCACGCATAACTTTTAGCAAACAAATTTGTACCAGCATTACTATTATAATAACTACAAATACTTACTTTCGTCGAAATTGAAAGGTCTTTTGCCTTCGAGGAACTCCTTTTCAATACTTTGACTGTTGTCGTCATCTATAAAAGTCATTCGTGATCAGTGCAATGTTAAAAAATATACATACAGCTATGATTGAAGGATTGGACAACAGTCAGAACTAGAATCCCATACTAAGTCCATCCATCTAACACTAAAACACAACATATTACGGACTACAAACTGGACAACGTAATACTGATTTTACAAGCCTTTACACGATATAAAACATGCAAGAATAAAAACTACACTACTCTGAAATTATTTGCGAGGTTCAGATTTGACCCCCACCACCACCAGCACCACTAGTTGGAACACTACTATCAGGGACGCCGGAACTGGGGGGCAGGAGGGGCAGCCGCCCCCGTTGCCCTTCGCCAGGAGGGGCAAGGGGGGCAAAGGTGCCCTTTCAATATAAAGAATTGCCTTGGCGAAATAGAGAATTGTCGGAAATGTTAGTGCGATTCTTTTACGAATTTGCTTCAGAAAACGCAAGAAATGCAATCTTCCGAGCTTCAAGAATAGCACAATCGCCTGGCGGAGAACCCCCTCACACCCCTATCATCCAATAACTAGAAAACATGATTAGGCAAAGTTCAACTCTCGATGTTTTGCAAGCATCTCTTAGTAAGATATCACTTCAAAAGTGCCCTTTCACGAAAATCTGCCCCCCTTGCCTTCACATCGTTCCAGCGTCCCTGAAGTCTACTATCCACTTACATGCAAACCAGGTCAGCGCGAGGTAGTGATAGTGGTAATTAATGGAAGTCAAAAGTGACTCCTGCCAATTTACACCTGACTTTAGTCCTTACTACACGTACTTTACATTATAAACATGCAGGAAGCTTACTTACTTAGAAACTTTGTGTATTTCCTGTTGTCATAGTGTAAAATTAGTTGTCGTTAAAGTGTGGGGTTTGCCTTGTTGGGACTTCGTGTCTGTTTGCCAATCCCTTATCTACCTTGCCTTTTGCTGCTTGTAATGTCTACTATTTTAATTTGACGTATAGTTTTGTAAATATTAGTTCGATTAAAGCTTATTAATTATTATTATTATTATTTTCAAATTGGATATACATAGGTTGTTTTTGGTAACACGTTTTGGGGCAGCAGGTTGTGGTCAATTTTAGCTAAAATCGTCGACATTATGGAAGTGAGAGCATGAAACGCATCTTTCAATTTTATTTAATATCCACCAAATCTCACGACTACTGCATACAATGACAATAATTAACATTATTTTTTCACTGTGATAGTTGCCGAGACCTGTCAAGTCATCCATGGCCGTTTTACAGAAAGGGACCATACTATACTGAATGTGAAGAAATGACAAATGGTTGACGTATGTAATAGTAGGGGGTTGCATGGGGGCATTTTCCAACCAGAAAATCTGCATTTCTTGCGATTTTTGAAACAGAACTTTAGAGCGTTACATTAAACTGCAGATAGACTGAATCTTCAGTTATGTACTTGCATGGTATGTTTATGTAAATACCACAACTCGGTCACGTAACTTGTTTAGCCTCCCCCTAGCCTTCCAACAACTCAAATCCATAGGGTTGAAAGTCATGTATTTAAAATCGTAATGTTTTCTATTTACCATGCAGATTTTCATTCTTGCCTGCATCCATAACTTCATCACCATCATCATCGACTTCTTCATTGTCGTCTAAATGCAGCAATTATGATAAATTACATGTTGAATATTGAACACGGAAAATTGTGTTAAAACTAATTTACATTTTCTTAGTTGCTTACCCTCATCGTTTGTATAAACGATCTCATTTTCCGGCAAATCATCGCTTAAATCTCCATCATTGGTATCATCATCATCACCTTTATCATCATTTTCATCGTCATTATAATCATCATAATCATAATTATCGGTATCATCGTCGTTGTAATCATCTAAATGATGCAATCCTATGTATTTAGACCTATTTAATCAAAGTTTGTTGAAAGTATTTTTTATTTTTGTGTTTGCTTACTGACCTGGGCTTTCATCGTTGTTGTTGATCTCATTTTCAGGCAGACCATCACTTAAAGATGCTCCACCATCGTCTATGGGATCATTATATTGATTATTATCACCAATATAATCATCATCATAGTCTAAAATGACACAATAAACCAGCCGTACTTTCAGTGGCATAAGTTGTGCTTCAAGGCCCCTGGCTTAAACTGACGAAGATTCCCTGGTCCTGCCCATTCAAAGTGGCAACGGGGAGGGTGTGCTATATGCCAAGAAGATGCAAAATTTGTTGAAATACTTCAACCTCGCCACATTATCATCCCTGCTGAGGAGCCCGTAGTTGACCTGGGCTTCCCGACCTGAGCATAATTTTCTCCCGGGTTAGTCCAAGTCATGAATTAATGCTAATTTGGATAAGTAAAAGTGATATCTAATTAAAGAACGAGACAATCACAAATCCAATACAACCCTAATCTAGTGAGCAAACTATTTAGCTTACCTTCGTCTTCAATGGTTTGTTCGTCAGTTACCCAGTCGTAGAATCCTTTTCTCTCATCATCTGAAAACAAACGAAGCATTGCTTTTCTGTGGGTTGGAGAGGAAAGTCTTACGGACCTTATCCGGAGCTTATGCTTGTGACAGAGTTTCACAAAACCGGCAAAGATACGTTCAAGAAATCGTGTTGGAAATCCTCGATGCTTGCAACTTACTTTGATTGTTTTCATTTAGATCCCGATCCAAAAGACTTCTCAAAAGGTTCACATCTAAAAATAAATTAATAAGGGCTTGTTTCTCGGTTTGCGATAGCTGCTTACTTTCAAGCAATTGACCTTCCCTTTAATATAAATGTTTCTTTTTGATAGCATGCAGTAGCGCCGTAACTTTGTGCTAAAGGGCCACGGACTAGACAGACTGTTCAAGACCAAATTGTTGGACTTGGCTAGACTTTCTCTAAACTCATGCATGATCAGTCTATTTTGTTGAAAACTAAACGTTACCAGACAGCAAGAGGGACGGACAGTGTCGCATAAAAAGAGACGCTTTCGTTCTTCAAAAACCAGCTGTTTGACAAAATTTGCTACAATTAATAAAACATTCAAAGACCCCTGCACTTAACAAGATTACAACATTAACTAAATATGTATATGGCTAATACAATTCATTAACTAATTAGTAATCACTGATATAAAAATTGTAAAATAACATTTTAATTATAAAGACACTGTTTAATTAATTACAAGCAGACTATCCTACATAACTTCCCGACTGCTACTAACTCCCGACAAAGCGCCTTCGCTCGAAACGTCGAAGTTCTCCTTGTATTTTTCACTAGGTAGCTGCATCCCTATCAAACCAAAGCTTTCTTAGTATTTGCATACCTACACTGGCCAGAACGTTTAAGATTATATCCTAGTAATCTTACATAGGCTATATGTCCTAAAATCGCAAATACGATCGATCGTTACTGAAAATAAAAGCTCAGATTCACCTTCAATTGCCTTTGCTTGTACTCCAATGCAAAAAAGGAGGACGGAAATTAGCAAAAAAATAGAAATTTTTATTACGCCTTCCATTACTGTTGATTACTTGATTGCGACAAGCTAAAAATACTGCCAAGCTCACTGTAGCTGTACATTTTATGTTTTCATAATTCTATAGAAGATACATGCCATGTTTCAACCTACGCATCCCCCGGTGTGCAGATGAATTAGGTATATTTCGTTGGAAACAATGAACACAATCGGTATTGAAATACAATTTTTGTAAGGTTTATGAGCCCAGAAATGCACCTGTGAAAGTTTAAACGCCTCGTTTGATTATCCGGAGTTAATTAATGGATGGTAACGAATCAGAGTATTGTGTAAAATATTGTCAGTGAAAATAGTTAGTGAAAATTTTTCAGATTCAAGCACAGCTAAAGACAGCCTACTGCCTCCATATACAAGTTTTGACTTAGACATATCAGGGCTCTTCAATTTCAATGAACAATGAGACTGCCAATATCCTTAAGGGGGTTGATGTTGAGAATGGTTCTGAGACCCCGTTCACTTCACACGATACCGGCATGGAATTCTGCCGGGAGAAAATCATCACGGTTTCAACTGTTCACACAACACCGGCAGATTATATTCCGCTTTGACAATATACTGCACAAATCAGTTAAATAGACAGAATAAAATATCCAACAACAACTTTTGCAGTTTTGTTAATTTTATTTTGTATAACCATAATGAAATTCTTACGGATAGGCGTTCACACGGCACTCTGACGGTCCGTTTTCAAACTCTTACGGTTTGCATGTTAGCGTTACGGCCGGTTTCACATTTTTTCATACCGTGTGAACGCAACCCCTAAACGTAAGAATTTCGTTTCGTTTTCAAACTCTGCCGGTATCGTGTGAATGGGGTTTATAAAATAACAGGTATATAACGCCGTGCTCTTAGTGGTCGAAACCCGTGTTTGAATCAGGCCATCCAAACACGGAAACCATAAAGTAATTGTATACTGAATGGTGCTACCGAGTCACTGCATGCGTGAAAGTCACAATTGCTTCTGCACTACCGATGTATCATCAAAGAAGCTTCTATTACAAAATTTACTTTAATATTACTTGTGATTAATTTACTTGTGCAATAATTACGGTGATATTAATTATATTATGGTGAGATTATGTGGTATTAATATTTAACAATTATTCGCCGAAGGTGAGGTTATTATCGCTTGATAATCACCGAGCCTGAGGTGAATAATTGTTTTAGTATAATTTCATAGGTGATTATTTGGAAAAAAATAAGAAAATACACACTTCTTTGTCATTTAATTGACAAAAAGGCTTCGGCTGCCATTTTGAAAATCGCTTAGGTGATTATCGCGTAATAATCGCCTCAACGGCAACCAATCAGCGTGGAGAATTTTCAATAATCACCTATGTAATTATACTAAATGTAATTATGTGCATATAATATTGCTACTTTCAAGTTTAAATCTCATTTGCGTGGCGTGGTTATCCTCCGTCCAACGTTTTTAGTCCAGGATAAAATGTTTCGGAAATTCCTTAAAAAAATCCTCAAAAACCTAAATTCCTTAAAAAAATCCTTAAAACTCTTCAAAATTCCTATTTTGAAGAGTTGCTCTGAATAGTGCTGGGCTTTTATTGTGAGTTTGACTGCGTGAAAATCACTGTCGGACTACAAATGACATCTGTTACTTGGAAGTGTAGCATTCAGTACATTTAGTGTGGCATTTTGTGTTAAAACAAGAACGAATATGCTACCGTTAGGATATTTAAGAGATATAAGATAACAATAAAAAGTCACAAAATCAATGTCAAGCCGCAAGTTTCAACTGCCGAGTCCTGCCGCTTGCGTTGTCTAGTATGGCAGCAGGGCCTCTTACAGGTGGGGGAGGGGGAATCGGGGAATTTGATAAAGATAAAGGCCCCAAAAAATTGCAAAAGGGGGACCCCAAATTAAGAATTTGCCCCTGTCTCCCGAATTGCTCTGTGAGGCCCTGTGTGGCAGAGCTGGAATCGTAACTATAAAGACAGGGAAACTGAAATCCGATATAAGACCACATATCGCCCAATCTATTGCCGAGCTTCAGTAAGCCGTCATAGAACATGAGATGACAATCAACGTTAGAGGTACTGACATTCATAGGAAAGCGATTTCCATCTCTCATTTCTTGTGATTTGCCTTCAAAATACTTTTATACATATAATGAAAAGAATGGAGGTCATTTTCTCACTTTGATAACTGCAGGTTGAATACCATCTGCTGCACGATAGTGTTTACTGAAGCCCATCTAAACAGGTCTTGAAATACCAAGGGCTTATGGTATTATACTCGTTGTAACCTCAGTTCTAACAGATCACCAGGAAATCTTCCCATATTCCAGTTGCCAACGGTCGACCCGCTGATTTGACCAAGTGGCGTAACTACTATGGGCTCGGACCGGACAAACCCGGGGACCCCAACCCCAATGGGCCAATTTGGGACCCCCAGGCTCAGGCTGTAGAGAAAAAATATTGGCCAGGGAGAGCTCCGATATGTCACAATGTCGTTTTCTGACCATCAGAATTCTGCAAAATCTTTCCCTTTGGTCCGGGAAATGGCATTTCCGAGACTCTAGATTCAAACATTTTCACGGTGAGCATACCCTGAACCCCTAGAAAATTCGTGCATATACGGCGCTCAACTCGTGCCTTTGGCACTTCAACTAGGGGAGCCTTCGAAAATTTTGAACCGGGAGCCCCTTGATACAACGTTACGCAACTGGATCATATATGCTCACATTAGCGTGCTTATGAGAATCCCGTGTTGTGGTGTCTCATAAGCACGCCCATATATGTTTGTATTAGTGTGCTTATGAGAGGGATTCTCATAAGCACGATCATATATGCTTGTATTAGCATGCTTATGAGAATCTCTCTCATAAGCACGATCATATATGCTTGTATTAGTGTGCTTATGAGAATCCCTCTCATAAGCACGCTCATATATATGCTCACATTAGCGTGCTTATGAGAATCCCGTATTGTGGTGTCTCATAAGCACGATCATACATGCTTGTATTAGCGTGCTTACGAGAATCCCTCTCATAAGCACGATCATATATGCTTGTATTAGCGTGCTTATGAGAATCCCTTATTTTGGTGTCTCATAAGCACACCCATATATGTTTGTATTAGCGTGCTTATGAGAATCCCTCTCATAAGCACGCTCATATATGCTTGTATTAGCGTGCGTATGAGAATCCCTTATTTTGGTGTCTCATAAGCACACCATATATGTTTGTATTAGCGTGCTTATGAGAATCCCTCTCATAAGCACGATCATATATGCTTGTATTAGCGTGCTTATGAGAATCCCTCTCATAAGCACAATCATATATGCTTGTATTAGCGTGCTTGCGAGAATCCCCTGGTGGCTTAGTTAGAGGTCGTTTGGCCCGATTCGATAAACATTTGAGTTCAAATCCAGTTGAACTCGTATTTTGTAGCGGACTCACAGGATTTTTTTGCTTTATTTATTCTGGCTATGTTTTATTCTTTTATACCTATATGTTTAAAACCGGTTTACAAGTAGAAGAAAATTTTGCAAGCTTGAACCTGGCCCGAAAGATCCAGCTAATCATTCTGTACTGTCCTCATGTTCTGTCCTTTCACCGCCCTTCACCGCCATGTAGAGTCTTCTTCACCTCATGAGATGAGCAGGTCACAACACTGTACTTGTATTTTTAATTTAACACGAATTTCAGGTCGTCCACTGATGGATTAAAGGTAGGTCGTTTGGCCTGTATGGATAAGCATTTGAGTTCAAATCCAGTTGAACTCATCTTTTGTGGCGTTCTCACAATACTTTTTTCCTTTATTTATTTTGACTATTTTTCATTCTTATTACACCTCTATGTGCAAAATTCGTTTACAAGTATAAGAAAATATTGCGCTGTTGAAACTGGCTCGAAAAGGTTATGTTAATCATTCCATATTGTCTAATTTCGCAAGAATTTAACGCGGCACTTGCCGTGCGATAGTAACTTCTAGCTTTAGTTGACTCTATCACGAAGCCGGCGAAAGCTAAGCGTAGTAGAAAGTATATTAAAACACGGCTAAGCACGGCTAAGCATTTTTTATATCAAAATGCACATTAAAATTCCCCTGTACCAAAACGTTTTGCATCAATATGCGTTTTGAACATTTCTAAGTCGATCT